CACACTTTGCCCACTGGTATACATACTGTCGAGCCGGGGCAGCCCCACTCACCAGGGTAGCAGTCTCGAGAGTTACTATCTAAAAAACACAAAAACACACGATTATATTATGAACGAGAAATATTTCCACATGCTTTTCTTTAAGTTATGCAAAAATCAGTTTTCTATTTTGATAGGTCAGGAGTTGAACTTATTTTGACTACATCTTGTGCAATGTTCTACAACTCTTAATGTTTATACTGAATTTCCCGTTCAAACGTTTTCTCACCACATCCTCTCTCATCACTGTAGTCCCCACAGTCATTGAAGTGGTCACACACCCAGCGCTGAGGAATACAACGGCCACTGGAACACGTGAACTCGCCGCCGCTACAGCTCTGGTATTCTTAAGAATAAAGAGATAGGACTCACATTTTATTTGATTTTACGCCAAATTTGACATTTAAAAATCTCAACACATTTTCAAAAATATGATATTTTATTGAAATTTAATATTTCAAACTATATCAAATTGGCCATAAAAAAAACCACTCCTGTTAACAATAAATACATCACTATATAAGCCTTGTTTGCTGCACAACAATTGCACTTGCAACATTTCCAACAGCAGAAAGGTATAAAAGGATTTTTGGATTCTTGTCTAACTTTCAAGAAATATGTCAATCCATTTGTAAATGTATTCAGAATAATGAGCAGTTTGGTTTCGTGAGCTTGCAGTTCTTCCCTTTATATTCAATACAGAAGGTTGATCTTTTAAAGAGGAAACACAATCAACTCTGTCCTCTTGAAATGAGACACCTCTATTAATGTAGTTGAGTCACTTCATCCTTACCACAGTCTTTCTCATCACTGTTGTCCCCACAGTCATTCCAGTGGTCACACACAAAGGAATGTGGGATGCAGTAGCCATTAGCACACTGATACTGGTGGCTGGGACAGTGCTGTGTAGCTGGAAATAAAACACAGACAGAATTTAGAAGAGGTCAACAACCAAGGCACACTTGAAACAACCTCTAACGAAGCTATGGGCAACTTGTGCTGAAGTGACTATAGAACACGTGTCAGGGTCACGTTAATGTTAAGTAATGGTATGGTTGAGCTTTAACGGTAACTCACCTGTGATGTTAGCTAACGTTAGGGTTATAATATTCTTGTTACCATAAGTGTATGTACTATTTGTGTATGTACCATTTTTTCTCAGTGTTAGAGAAGAGAACATATATAGGTTATTCTTAAGTATCTGCAAAACCACCCCTACTATGGTAGGTTCTACTCACTGCAGTTGAATTCATCGGAGCCATCTCGGCAGTCCTGCAGTCCGTTGCAGTGCTGAGAGTGGTTGTAACAGGCCCCATTGGCACACGTCTTCTCAGTGCAACGTGGATAGTCTGCAATAAAAGTGTATTCTTTTATTGAAAGGACGATACATTTCCTGTCCAACAATGCAAATAAAATGATCCATATCAAAACCACTTATTATAGATAAGGAGGGTACCCAAAAATGGGTAAACAAAAAAATCTGACATACATCCACATAATACACGTATTTTTTGACTGACATCAAAGTACAGAGCCTAAAGGTTCACTGTAGATGTAAAAGTCTTACTGCAGTTGTTCTCATCAGAGTTGTCCACGCAGTCCTTTACATGGTCACATCTGTAGTTTCCGGGGATACACTGGCCCTCCTGGCAGGTGAACTGGTCTGGGCTGCAGGTCCGTCCACCTGAAGAACCAAGAGCATGCGGGGGAGTTTTGATTCAAAATGCAATGATAAAAAGGGAAATTAGACTCTCAATTTGAAATGTAAAATTACAACGTTCTTAAAGGGCAGTTTGGTATTATGAGTCAAATCTGTTTGTCTAGACTACTTCTCTCACTCTGACATGGAAAGCCATGAATAAACAATATAGGAAAAAAGAAATGCAGTAAAACCTTGACCTACATAAATCTGTTTATCACCAAACCACAAAAAGTAAATGTCCCATGAAGTTTCAAAATAGGTTTCCTATCTCAGGTATGTTTTTGTTTACATTAGAGAAATACAGTTTATTTACAAGACTTGCATGTTTAATTTAAATTCCTTACATTTATTTTTGTATTATTTCTATTTTTATAATTTGGACTCCTATTGAAGGGTTCACATTTTAGAGTGAGTTGATGTGGCCATCTAGTGGTTTTACTCTTCATTGCTGCACAAGCGTGCATCTTTTTGTTTTCTGTGAGGTTCCTTCAGCTGTTTACGTTCACTACTTTGAGCCAATTGTCATGACTTATGAGTTTTTGTCAGTCTTTCATTGTTAGCAACAGCCAATAAACAGTCCACTTTGCATACCACAGGTTCTTTTTTCATCCGAACCATCGATGCAGTCTTCCTCTCCATCACAGACAAATCCCAGAGAGATGCATTCACCGCTCGTCACACACTTAAATTCCTGCGAGGTGCATGATGGAGTTGCTGCCACGAAGAACAAAACAATTGAAGAGTTAACACATACATAATAAAGGTCTGTGTTGAGGCATGGATTTATGTTTCTGTAAGACTCTTCTCTTTGTTGCTCTTTTCCTGGCAAACTTTATTTCCCAGTTAACAGATGGGTTTTGAGAATGCTTTTGCTTGGTGCTATCTGTGTTTCCAGGGATTGGGTGTAATACTCACGACAGTTCAGCTCATCTGAGTCATCTGTACAGTCTTTAGTCCCATCACATCTCCAAGCTATATTGATGCATTGTCCACTAGTGCACTGAAACTCCCCACTGCCACAACTTCCTGCACACACACGCACACAATAGGATGGATTTAAAACATCTGTCATCATCCATCGTTTCCTGTTTACACACATTTATTATTTTAAGATACAATGTCAGATGTCCATGTTAAATGAAAAAGTGCTTTTTACTGTATTCTGACAAATGAGTTACCATGTTTATGACAGTTGTAAACACACTGTCTGCAACATTTGAACCTTCTAACATGTGATTCGGCTATCAAAGGATAGCTAATTCTTCCCCATGATTGAACAGAACATTCTTATGACCTTGAAGTATACAAACATTCATTTTAGATATATGATTGAAGTCTGAAACAGCAGAGAGACGTGTACTTTGGATCATTTGTGCATTCATAACTTTTCAGTATTTTATAAAGTGTAATTTTGAATGAAGCACAATACAAAATTTGTATTTTGTATTGTAAATATAAGGCAATAATACGATTATTTATATACTTTAAAGGTACACATGTTATTATTATCACAACATTTATATTTATTATATCAATTGTTTAAGTTTTAATAATTCCCAAAACAGTAGTATCATGATTTATTTATGTAATGATTTCTTGGGATGTCAAACTACTCAAATTCCATAAAAGCATAAATCTCTTTGCATTTTGGTGCAACTCAAAAATGACCATAATTGTGAAAGATGAACTCCCTTAAAACTCAATATGTTGGTGAAAATAACACTCTGATGATGCAAAAATCCCACAACTGACCATTGCCAAGCATTTGTATTCTTCTCTCAATACTTAGCTTTAACATATTTGTGACTAGAAAACATATTGTTGTAAAATCAAGAGTATACACATACCTTGAGCAAGTTGAATTCCTTGGGACAGCAGTAGAAGTGACAGAAGATGAAGACCTTTTAGGCCCATAATTTAACTTTGGTGTTAGTTTGACAAAGTGTGTACACTCATGCTAAATCTGGCTCTGTTAATGACACTGGGTAAGATACTGCCTTTGGGACGGAGATGTATAACCCAGAGCAACCAGCAGACCAATAATGTGACATGGAGGAACACAGCTTTTTATGGCTGGCTCCTTTACATAAACTTCATCTAAGATTAACTTTTACCTGTTGGTATATTGTCTACATCAGCAAGAAAATGGAACTACTAATTTTTGTGTAACACTGCGGCAGGAAGTTAACACTGCAACCACTGTTAATACAGACAATATAGTTCCTGAGAACAGTGATAATGAGTATTTTCACCAGCCTTTCATCAGGTCTTTACATCCTATAAAGGGCCGTTAAAAACACAATTTAAATGTGAACGTATTGAAGTTGTAAGCGTGGTGTACACACAGCTAAATATAGTGTAGTATGGAAAATAAATGTGGAATGATGGGCATATGTTTAAAGAATTAGAACCAAATACAATATTCCTGCAACAAATTGATCGTACTATTGATGGAACATTTATAATAGCATATGGGAAGGTGTTTGTGGACCATAGTAGTGCTTCAGTAATGAGTTGTAGGTACTACTTTTGTATTTTTTATATAAATGCGACATAGAAAACTTTTTTTGAGCAACCACATGTTATCTCTTTCTAATTAGTTCATTCATTTAATGCAGATGCATATGGTCATGGTCCATATGAATTCCACCCTGTTTAAATCAATGGCACATTATTGAGACATTATCATAGCTACAGTTATCAAACAAACTGAATATTAGCAGCCTCTACTGGCTTCTTTATTGCATTTTACGATGTGTGACCTTGTGACGAGCTACAGTTAAAGCTTAATACCATTTGGACTGTCTGCTCCGGCGAGGGGTGTATCAGCAATTCAACAAAACAGATTGGTGTTGCCAGCCACTGAGGATTAAAATCGGGTGTTTTTCTGACGTATCTGTTTATCTGTTGTTGCATGTTACTGACAAATAATTTGTTACAATGCATTTAAAACTGACACTCTTGATATGCTTTCAACTCAAGACGATTGCTGTAGATTAATTTGGTTCTTGAGATAAATGTAACCCACAACATTTTACACACCAAAAATAGTTTACTTAAATAGTAGACATTGAGGACAATTCAGTGATTTAAAAAAACACAGCACAGAAAAAATATAGTGGGCTGTAAATATGTGTTATGCCACTGTCAGCGGTAAAAAATATATATTTTAAATTTCATTTCATCATCTGTGGCCCACTAGATGGCGCTCTCAGACCCACCCAAAAAGAAGAAGAAAATATTTGACAGAATCCATCACTGGTTTTTAAATGTTTTATGGTTAAAATCATATAGATATGAGTGACAAGGACAAACTAATACAATACAGTAAGTGGTATATATAACTCATTTGTAAATATTACTGTTTTATTTTATTCCTGTTGAATAACAGTTTGGTATCATTTGGACATGAAAGTGGTTAAAAATAAACAAAATATACTCTCAGCAATTCAACAAATCAGATTGGTGTTGCCAGCCACTGAGGCTTAAAATCGGGTGTTTTTCTGACTGTGCATGTAGTCTCTGTTCATCTGTTGTTGCATGTTACTGACAAATAATTTGTTAGAATGCATTTAAAACTGACACTTTTGATATGCTTTCAACTCAAGACGATTACTGTAGAATATACTCTCAGTATAACATCAAACAATTTTATTGTAAACATTTTACACAAATGATACTAAAATACATAGAGGGATCTAACATGCCCTAATTTGGAGGAATAACTCATCAAATTCTATGAAAAGAAAACTGAGCGCAACAGAAAATTGTGACTCATCATAAACATAACACATATTACATACAAAATGATTACCTGTAAATTCATAAATGAGTGAGACATAATCTGGGCAAGAGAATGATATCAAACAACACATCATTTCTGGGTTTCAATGCCATTTAACAATTAGACATTCTTAAGAGAGTAATATTTAAATTGATCAACAATCAAAATATATAATAGAAACCTTGGAAAAGACTTACAGTGTATAACATATTCTTAAATTTTACAAAGGACAGGAATGATTTATTTATTTATTTCTTCAGACATTGCACAAGACCTATGCAACCATTTTGCTTCCGTTTATAAAACTCTGACTTTGGTGTATTAATGATATTCGGTTATCTGAGCAAAAAAGATGAAAAAGAAGAATTCTGAGGTGTTTCCAACAAAACTCCAGCCAGTTGTTGATCTGGGCAAATGTCACTGTAGGATAAACCGTTGTGCTTTCCTATTAATTGAACCGACTTCCATTATCGTGCGTGTAGTGAGAGTTGCTGTGGCCTTGGCTCTGAGCATACGGGTTGGTTTGAGGTGGACTCTGGGCATAGGGGTTGTTCAGGGGGCGAGCCTGAGCATAGAGGTTGCTTTGGGGTCGAACCTGAGCATTTGGGTTCATGTCATCTTGGTCGTTGTAGAGCCGCTACAATTAAAAGAGAATTTCTTCATCAGAGAATTGCAATACCAAGCATACAAGATTTTCTCTTCTCCTACCCTGCTGATTATTTTTATTTATTTTTATTTTCAGCATTCTACTTTCTGTCCCCTTTTAGAAACTTAAGTTCTTAATCTCAACAGTTGCTTCTACTCACCGGGTTCCTCCCCACAGGGATCAGGTTTTGTCGACTGTTGCTCGGAGTCATCTCCAGGTTGCTTCTGCTGTCCCAGCTGTTTGTGGTTGTGGCCCTTGGGATCCTAGGCACCCCAGCATTGGCAAAGGCTGACGACCCGTTGGCTGGCCCACGGGCTGCCCACCGGGCACCCTGGCTTTGAGCTAGGTTGCCGTTAACCAATGGTTGCTTGGCAGGCTTCCCCATGTCTGCATTTGTGTCCTTCTTGGAGCTCTTCTTTGAGGATCTAACAAGATAATACAACAGTACGCATTACTCTCGACTGTTACTGTTACTGCATCTGTATTTCTGCATTCTGATCTTTTCTATGACATTATTTGCTAAAATATGTGTGTGTATCTAAAATAAAATGGCAGGTTAAAAACACCAGGCAACCTTGTTGCAATTAAAAAAAAGGTTCATAATTCATCTGATGGGTTACATAAAAGTGAATGTGTAGCGTGAGAAAGGCATTAATGAATTGGCGAGTGAATAGATGAGAAACTCACCTGCTTGCCAATATAGGCAGAAGAATGAGTGCGATGAGCAGCAGTATCCCGAGCACGGAGCTGACGATGACCAACGTCTGCAGCCATGCTAACGAAACACAACGGCAAGGACATCAACAACAAGGCTACGCTATTAAAAATCCGTCCTTTCAAACTAAATTTATGAAGTGTTTCACAATAAAAGCCAACCATCAAAGTGTGTTTACACTTCTCATGTGAAAGTTATAAAGACTTCGTGGCTCCAGAGGGAGCGGTGTGAAATCAGATAAATTGCCTAAAGTGATTTCAATTTAGTCAGTATTTCAAAATGTCGCAGAAGGCTTGCAAACAAATTCCTTGCCTTCTCTTAGCAGTGATGATGTAACAGCAAATACAGTTGCCATAGAGAACAATATAGGCAAACACCACTGGACATGCTGATGTAAATTTTCTTACGTCTAATGTGTTGAAATATTGTATTGCAGCCATTATGTTTCCCCAGTACATACAGTATATTTGCACGTGCCAGGAGCTGCATATGAACATGATTTAGGGAAGGAATGTTACTCTATTGGAGGAGATTTGTATTAATTGAATGGTTACGTTACATACCATCCCTCATAAAGTAGTAAAACTAGTTTGTTTTACCTGTAATGTCAACAACTTTGTATCCATTTTATCAAATACTCATTTCATGTATCATTTTGATATTTTTCTTTTGGCGTTTTTTGCCTTTACTTTCAAAAACATGTATAATGTATACTCACAATCTTGGCAGTCAACACCAGAATAACCAAAGGAACAACTGAAAGACAGGAAGAATGATTCATTTTATGATTTTATTTATAACCACGCTTTCTATAGACACAGGTCATATCTACAGTGCCTCTCACTATGATCTGCATGAAGTGTTGTAAAAATGTAATAAGATAGATAATTAGATAGATACTAATTTTTATCTTTCCAGAACATGATATGAAATTTAAACACTCACTCGACACATATTTTTGAGTCGCCAACTTGTTGACCATTAGGACAAGCTGCAAAAGTAGAAAAGGTTGAGATAGTTAAACTTTAGATAAACATGTTATTTTAACACACACACACACACACACACACACACACACACACACACACACACACTCTTTATCTCTTTCGCACAAACTAAATTCCCTTACCAGTGCATATTCTGCGACTGAAGTCCGTCTCAATGAATTGTTGCAAACAGGTACAGTTGTAAGATCCATTTTGCCATAGGCATGATGTAGTATCCTTATCACAGGGATTCTTAAGACACAGGTCTGTCTCTTAAGATTAAGTAAAAAAAGAAGACAGAGTCAGCACACCTAACTCAAACAAGTACAGAGGTACAAAATAAAAAAATCATGAATGCACAGCATTATACAAAAGATACATTTAGAATTTCTGAAACAGGTTTTGTAAAAATGCTAATTGTCTGCAATCTATTCAACATTACAGAATAATTGTATTACAAAAAAAAAAACACTCCACTATGTGAACATCTAATAGAAACACAAAGAACAATTTGATGCCATCCAACAAAGTGGGCGTAGTTCTTAAAACATCACAGCAGTAGATGTTCTGCATTTCAAAGCCCTAACAGGGACATTTATGAACAAAATATTTGATAGGATAAAAAAACAAACCATTTGTATAAGGATACTTTTTTTAAATTTTGTTTTTACAACTAATTCTTTTATATTTGACAGAATAATCAATGAATTGATTTTAGACTGCGCTGCAGATAGAGCATGCAGCATTTTGAAGCAACGCTCTGAAATGATGCTCTAGCTAAAAACAAGTCTTGATAAGATAAGATAAAGAACTGACATATATACTTGATAGATAAACTTACCATGAAACGATGCATTTGCCAGGTGACAGTCCACAGTACATTTGCTGGGATCTGTCAACTTCTCCACAACTTCTGCGGTTGCGATGTCAGAATTTACATGGAAGATGATATCTACAGTTGCACTGACCCCATCCTCTGATCTTGACATAACTTTACGAGTGGACCTATAGACAAAAATCACACTTAATCATGATTGCATTCTGCAATTATTAAGTACAATATGCTGTAAGTGTGCTGTAGGTTCTACATTGACAGACAGATGGTAAAAAACATTGTGACTTACAGCTCTCTGAATTCCAGCACTGTAGATCGAGAGAAAGAATAATTCTTGAAAATAACCGACAGCTGTGTTTTAGGGGGAAAAAAAATACAATTTTGTTTAGCATCGCCTGATTGGGAATGCACAGCCACTTTGGATCAATTTCGCATATCTTAGTGTAGCACACGCGAGTTAAATTAACTTCTGTTGTCAGTGAACTCCACAGGCAGTTTTTTTCAGGGTATTTTTGCATCAAAAATATCAAATGTATTTAAAGGAGAAAAATAAAGAATTTATATCAATTGTTAATTCCACCATGATACACCTGGTAATTAAATATGTGCCCTAAACCCCTCAGACATTCTCCCTCACTCCCCTCTGTCAAAAGGACAATCAAACCCTACCTGTTTAAGTCTGCTTTCAATTGGTGACCCCCACCCCTCTCTTTTTGTCCTTTTGCATTGTCATTGTTGTTGCGTTTGTACTGTTATTGCTTTAACTGTTTCTGTTACTTACTGTTTTTTATTTTTTACCATGTTAAGTGCCTTTGAATACCTTTTAATGCACTATACAAATAAAATACAGTATTATTAAATATATTTATCACTTCTGGTAAAGAAGATGAAGAGAATAAAAAAACATAGAAGCAATGGCTGTCTGAAAAATCTGAAAAAGTCTTTATTTAAAAAAAATAAAAGCCACATAAAAAGAGGAGAGAACTTATTGCTTACCTCGTCATTAATTTGAATCGAAGCCTTTTGGAATTCTGGTGATGTCTTGGTAGTCATGTTTTGATGGTATCGTAAGTTAGGCAGGTCTAGTTGTCCAGGGAAAACTTTGGCTTAAAAAGGAAAATATCATCTTAGGGTAGTTGTAAACACTCCAAAAAACATTTAATTTAAAAGAATAGTTCAACAATTTGGGAAATTCCCCTTCTTGCTGATAATTAAATCAGAAGACAAACCCACTCTCATATCTGTCCAATAAATAAAGGCTACACTTATACTTAAGACAGCTCGAATGACATCCTCTCTGCTTGCCTGGCAACTGCACAGTATCGACAGGACTTCAGGATGTCACTGTTCCGGTCCAAGATACAGTCCCAACTAGCTGGTAGTTACACTTCAATGAATGTAAGATAATTACAAATAACCGACGACAGTAACACTACTCTTGTGTAACAAGGTTAATCTGAATCCCACAGATACATACAGGCCTACACTTTGGTATGATAAGTCCTTCAATCGCTTTCTCATGGAGTAACAATCTCATGGTGGTATACAAAAAAATACTTACCACTCACACAACTTTTCAAGTCATAATTATAGTCATCACCAGCGAAACACACGCATTCAAAGGTTTGATTGCTACGATCCTCACAGGTGCTCCCATCGTAGCATGGGTTTCCATCACAAGGATCTTTCAAGTCAAAAGAATAAAAACGCACACAACAAATATAAGCGTTTACAACATTGTGTGAGCATCTAAAAAACAATGACATCATGGAAACAGAGGAAATAACAATTTTAACAGATGGAATTACCTGGAAGCTTTGTGGTCGTAGGTGCTACACTTGTAGTAGTCGCACCTGTTGCTGCTGTGGATGCTACAC